GTGCATCACACCTTTTCCTTCAAATTTGCAGTAAAATCCAACTTGCTGGCAGACTTGCACAGGCAGTGAACTGTGTGAACCACCACAATCTACCCAGGTGCATTCATAAATCTAAACTGAAAGCCAGTAAACATTTCCCTCAGACAGTCCTTCTGTGGTGCTTTCAGACAGCTGGAGGGATATTTTAGCTCAGTGGTGCTCTGCCACTGGGAATCAGCACAGTCCAGTGATCGGGGCCAGCACAGAGAGGATGAGCTGCTGCAAGCCAGCTGAGAGGCAGGGCTGGGAGTGAGAGGAATGACCCTGGAAGGGGACAGCTCTGCCAGTATGGAAATCTCTTTGTTCCCTCCATTTTGTCAGCAGGCAGGCAGAGATGGCCCTGAGGAAGCCGTGTCACCATTGCACCTGGTTCTCCATCAACTTAGTATCAAGAGCAAAATTAAGATGGGAAAAGGAAGTGGTGGGAGGCTGAAGGAGCACAAAGCCACGCTGTGGCTGCAGTTTGCTCCTCATCAGAGCTCCTCCCAAGCACAATTAGAGATGTGCCCACGGCAGATCTGCAGTTCTTCAGTTTAAGCTTAAGACTTGGGAAGAACCACGAGATAAGTTTTTAGGCTAAAACCATTTGAGATGTTATCAAAGGCTTATGCATGAGAGGAAATACACTCCCTTGTAGCAAAGGGAAACTGTTCTAGGTTATCACTCTAGCTCCTACACTGTATCAACAGCATGACTTCACCTTTTGCAATCGCCTGAGTCAAGAGGCAGGATATTTATTTAGAAATTCTGCCATGAGCGATCAGCCTGCACAAAGTTAGCATGGAAACCAGTTTTCTTGTTTAAGGAAGAGAAAACTGGCAGTGCTTTGCAGAATTGCAGATGACGCTGGGTTTTCCCTGCACCCTGCCACCCCCTGAGCTACAATCCTGTCCCTGGGGACACTGTGTGAACATGCACTCACTTAGAATCCATCCAGGAAGTTTCCTTCCATGTCAGCCTCTCAGTCACCTATACATCACCAAAAATAGGATCCCTTGGCATTCAATTTACTGAGTAAGGCACCCATCCCAGAAGAGATCAAGCATCTCTCTGCTTTCCCACAGAGGTCAATGGAGGCAGAAGAGACATGCTGACTCCTGAGAATCAGTCATCCAGGGGGTGTTATTCAAAGGATTCTTCCCTTTACTGGAGGGAAAAACAGCGTCATATCAGTTGATCAGAACTAGTTCAAATAATAGCTATGAAACAATAACACAGATATTTGGGAAAGGGTCATTAAACTCTAGTAGGTTATTAGCGTCATAATTTTTGCATTTTTCATTCTCAAAACACTATTGGTATTTCTAAAAGGCTTCCACATCCAGGCATGATTGCATTTGATGCTGTTATTTTATAACGTAATACTTTTTTTTTTGCAACAGTCCATTTTCTTCAAATGTTTGAGATTTTGAAAGCAGTTCCTTTGAAAGCAACCCTTCCTTAAAAATACTGTGAGTCAATGTAAATTATGACTTGAAGTGAATGTCACATAATTCATTGTCTTATAAATGAAACAACTCAAAAGTTAATGTGGTATGAAGATATTTAAGCTTTTGACAACACGGTCTCCTACCAGCCTTCAGAATGATAAGGGTGAAAAGTGGAAATCTTTCAAGCTTTCTTTTATCACTGACACACAGAAACAGATTGGCCGAAGTAGAAGATAAGAAATACAGAGTATTCCTCAAGAGAAAAGTGCCAGGTCTTTTCTGTTTTGAGCCTGCTGTGATAAATAATTTCACTCTCTACCATTTCCTTTTCTACTCCCAGCTAAGAAGAAAGGATAGGTCAAACTTTGCCAGCCTGTAAGCTCCAGTGATGCTATGCTGGGTGATAACAGCCAAAAACCTGATCCAAACAAGTAAAGCAGCTCCTAACATAAATAAGAACTGCACACTAAAGACGTAACTCTTCGGTGCATATTTCACTCAAATACTTCAACCAGCACTAATTAAAAGCAAATTTAGCTGCCTTGGTTACAAGACTAGCCCCAAAGTCATGAAACAACAAAATCTGAATTAGAAAGCAGCAGCCCCACAACTATTTGATCACTTTGCAGTAAGCCTGTGTCCTGGCGAGTCACCAGCATCACAAAGTGTCCATAGAAACTTCCCATAGTGAGTGCCAGGCTGAACTGGCTTCAGCCTAACAGTCCTGGTCTTGGAGAAGGGCTGTTCAAATTTCCACCCTTAGAAGCAATTGTTCGCCATCTCAACTCTAGAAATGCATCACAGGGTGGACGGAGAACAGGTTTCTGAGAGCTTCCCCAAGCTGTGACGTTTGGAAAACAGATTCACTCAAAAGCAGATAGATATCAGCCTAACTTGGTATTTCTTGCTTTTGTCAGCTGCCAGGACCAGAGACGGATGGAGCAAGAATCCACACCATCTGGAATTACACCTAGTTTACTACCTGCATAATTATTGTTTAAAACAAACAGTAACAGCTAACCCACTCTTTCCATTTCATCTCCTTCTCTTCTACTTCCAGAAGAACCATAAGGAACACAGAAGCTACTGCAGCTTTCATAAAGGTGCTGAAAGCTGAAAACAACTTCCAACAACACTTAGGTGTAACCCCCTCAACCCCCGCTCCGCAAGGACCAAAACAAATTGGGAAGCCTCTCCACTGTATCCTAGATTGACTTTCCTTCTGGCTTTCTACCTCCCTGCCATCTGCACCTCCCAAAGTCACGAGTTTGTTCAGTCACTGACTGTGAAACTCATCACATTCTTGGGTGGCAACTGCGAGGGAGGCGTGCACATCGGGCGGCCGATCCAAAGGCACAAGTGTCCTGGGGAAAACACTCCTACCCAACACATTTCTGGTATCCTACTTCTTCCTGCCCTGCCTGACATCTGCCTGCTCCACCAGAGAGCAGCCATGGGTCTGCTCCACCTTCCTTCCTTCTGCCAGCACAGAGGAGCACAGGAATTAGCAGAGGGAAACAAGGTGTTCAGTCACAACTCACAATTAACATGCAGTGTTGCTGCTTCTTGACCCACATCAGTCAGCAACGAAGGCCACGGCCTGATCTTTACAGAAGATCTGCAAAGGTGAAGACTTTGGAGGAATCTCATTCCACTTTCAGAGTGAAACATTGAGGTTGGGGGTGGGAGGGAGACCTACTAATTTTTTGCTAAGATTGTGGCCAGTCTTTTACCCTCCTTCAAACCATGGAAGCAGTAATGGCCCCAACACTCACACAGAGCTTTAACAAGGCAGCAAGGCACTTTCAAGGTGGGTTATGTAGTGCTCTTTCTAATTTTCTGCTCTTAGAAATGTTTCTCTGTTCAAAACAATAAATTGCAATTTCAAAGGCAGCTAGCTTACTTCTGAGCTGCAGCCACCCTCTGTTATTTCAGACTGACCACACTCACATATGCCATTATAAAAATTCACTCCAGATCACAGCTTCATTATAACTTCAGACACGTGACTCACTCTGCAATTACAGCTTTGCACCACACTTTCACATCCCCTCCTTTCAGCCTGAGCCACTGCCCAGCACACACCACAACCTGACCTACTAATTCCCTCACCGCATCTGCAGCTCCTGCCCGTGCCATGGAGCACTGTGGAGAGGGAGCCTGCCTTTACGTAATGACCTGAGGTGACAAAACATCCCACCCTGTCTAGGTATGCTGCTCCACTGTTTAATTATCTGCACTGTTAAATCCAAGGGGCGAGTTCTCCAGTTTCACTGGCCAACCCAGTGATGTAATCCCAACTTTGATGTTTCGGGGGACTGAAAAGCTTCAGCAACTTGCAGGGGCCTTCCTTCATGCTTGCTCACCATGCTGTTTTCATTACCAATTCTGCCTAGAATTGCCTCAAGAACATACCAAGCCAGATACAACCTGCTTGCCTAGTAATAATAGGTAGGTAATAGTATAGGTAATGCTATTACTGAGTAGATTTCCAAGGTTTTACTACCAAATGGCAATCAAAAGCTTGCAGGTCTATGCAGCCATGAAAGCCCTTCCACGTGCAACCCAGCTATCCTCGATGGGAAGCAAACGGGTAACGGGATGATTTCGTACCAGCAGCCAAAACACCATGCGTGAAGGCAGCTCTGGGCTAAGCCAGGGAGCAACCAGCCAGTCTCCAAACCCACCAGCCAGCCTTCCCACCCCCCGCCCCAGAAGAGTACGGCTGTTCCCACTCACACACAGTTACAGCCAGGGGATGTGGAGCAAAGGGAAAGGGAACTCCATCTCTGCACCGCCAGGATTCCTCACATATTAGATTTCCATAGAAAACAGTGGTTTTGCTTTCCTTTCTCTTTCCATTACATGCCCAAAACTATGTGATGGAATCATAAAGTAATTAGTTTGGACAACCAAGCACATTGCTGTTAGTAGTTAGTAAAGTGTAATTCAGGAAACCACATGTTGGTAAAAAGAACAGAGACTGAATTAAAGATGAAATAAAGTACAAATAGCTCAACTTTCCAGAAGAGGAATCCATGCCAGGAAAGGATCAAGATTAGTTAAGCTAGCTCTGTTAGAGTGGTTTCCTCTTCACAGATGCCAGCAGATAAAAATGCAGCAAAAATGAATAATTAATGTTGTAAGTTGTAGGTTAATGCAAGCTATTTCATTCAAAAGGAAGAGCAAACCTTGCAATATTATCTTCCAAGTAATGAGATTTCGTATCATGTATTTTTCAGTATTTTAACAATTAAACAATTTCAGCCATTCTTGCTGGATAAAGGTCAAAACGCTCAAAAATCCAGGGCAGTAGTTTTTTAGGGGAAGTTACCACCACCTCCACCATTAATGTCACCATGGCTGCCACCCCCATGTCTCTGCTGGCATTAATGTCACTTGGACACAGCTCAGATCCCCCCCGTCAGCCACGTATCACACGATCAGGGAGCACTTCACTTGCAGTATCTGAATTATTATTTTAAAAATTCCTTGTTTGGAGCTAGAAAACTGTTTGAGATATGCAGCGACTTCAGAGCACAAGAGGTGAAGTTTTATTCTAAATGGCCATTACAAAACTAGGAACAGCTTCCAGAGCAACTTCCACTAAAACACGAAGTGTAAGATGGAGAATCAAAATAAACTCTAATTTTTTATTAAATACCCACTGTGACAACTGGAATCCTGACTAAGGAGAGGATTCATCTCCCCTCTGGATATTGGATGACAGCCTAAATGAGCTGGCCAGACTTTCCTCTTGGGCACTAGAGAGATGCCACTTCCAGAGGGATTCCCACACATTGTCAAAATTAAACCTATCCCCTTCTCCTTCATTTAGATTTCCTACAGACTTACAAATCAAAACTCAAACAGTCCCATTCCTAGGGCTGGGAAAAAAAACAAAAAACATTTCACTGCAGGTAAATCATTAATGACTGAGGGTTTGCTTGAGACGCTCCAACTGGGACAACGTCTAAAACTGCCGCGTGGTCCTGCTGCCAAGGGCCCCACACCAGCGGTGGCAAAACTATCTGATTTGAGGTGGAACAGTGCCTGGTTTGAGGCCATTGGACTTAACAATTTTCCACTGAATTGAGAGGTCTCTGGACCAAGGCAGAAAAAGATGCTGTTCTCCCCCAAAGCTGGCCCGTGTAAGCACGGCAGCTGTCGCAGTGATCGATGAGAAGCCAAGCGGGAGCGAGTCAGTGGCCTCTGTAATTACAGAGCTGTGCTGGTGAAGCCTCCTTTCTGGGCAAGGCAGTCAGCAGAGGTGAACACCCATGAAGAACAAGGGCGTTACTGGCCAGGGCTCGTGCAAAAACTTCCCAAGGAGGGATTAAGACACTCACGTAGGTTTTTATGACTGACCCGACCAGTCCTTCAGCAGCCCTGTCCATCAGAGGAACAGCAGGCAAAATATTTAAATCAACAGTAAAATCTTAGTCTTACTTCAGTCACGTTTTCCACCCTGAGTCTTTTATGGCAACTCACAATCTACTGGTAGAAGAGAGGATTTTGTGATTGCACTAATACTTCTGGAAATTAATTTTAATTGCAAACTTGTGCGTCTTGGAGCATAAATAAATTCACAGCAAAAAGTCCTAAGCAATCTTAAAAACTGCTCCAAAAATTGCATGGTGCATGTCAACCTCAGCTGCCCTTCAGAAATCATTGCAGAGTATTGCTATGAGTGCAGAGACCCTCACGTCTCCAAAGGCACAGCCAAGGTTTTGTTTTGCCAGCTACAGACACAGGAGACCAAACCTGTAACCCTTGAGTGGGAGATTCAGGACACCAGCCCAGAAGTTACATTCAGGCCTCTGTAACTTTTTTTTTTTTTTTTTTTTTTAAGGAAAAGTTTCAACTTCACCATCCTTAAAGACAAAACTTCCAGCAACTGATCAGGAAGACATTTATCTAAACGCTTCTATTTTTTCAACCTGTCATCCCACATGGTAGTTTTAGGTCTTCCATACAGAAGGCAGTGTTAGATTTAAAGGCTCATAAACACAGTGGAAGTTGGTGCAGCACTGGGAGTACATGAGTGCCTGTTTTGGGGGACAGTGCATATTCTTCATGTGCTGCGTTTACCCTGAGGAGCCTCATGTGCTCACACTTCCCAGCACTTTGCCTAATCCCACACTACTGAGAAGGGCCCTTGGATTGGGCATCCAAGTAGAAAGGCATCTTAATGTATCAGAAAAACCTGTCCTGGCAGTCCTGGATGATCTTTGACCACAGGTTCCAATTAAATCAAGTAGTTATGAGGAGTCTGTTGTCCAAGATAGCCTCTGGACTACATTGCCAAAACATTACAGACTGGAAATATATCAAAGGACTAATTACTTCCAAAAATAACCCGGACAATTGCCACATTGCCACATTTGCCTGAACGGTCTCGGCCTTCTCTATTAAGATTTAGGTGCCTAAAATTGCAGCTTCCAGAAATAGTATCAAGTTGCTGAACTTCTCCTTGGACAAGGAAGCCAAGCACAATTTAAGTAAATGAATGTGCAAAGTACTGTGATGAGTTAACCTCTAAAAGGCCTTCACTTTTAACAACAAAGAGCAGAGGCACTTCAGCAGCACAACAATATTTGCCCTGGATCCTTAAGTATCCCAGGGCGTTAGTGAATCTAGGCTAAATGGAAGATCAGAGCTAAAGCAGGATGAAGGCACATAAGCTGCTGTTTATGATCTATCAAGGAGCTAACATTAAGTCAATACACAGCACCAACTTCTTGCTTGGCTTTTTGTTTTTGGCTTCTGACTAGCTGATGGATCGTCCTTTGCGTGTTCCTCCCCACCATGCTTGTGCACACCTGATAAATGAAAAGGGGCCTCGAAGCTGCTCATGACCCGGTTTCTATCCTGTTCTTCCACCTCGTCACTATTAAAATGAAAGGCATATCGAGGGGAACTGGCAGGCTTGTGAGACTTCTGCAGGCGAGCGTTGGCCGGCTGGGAAGGCAGCGCGTGTTGTCCTCTCCGTCGGCACTCCTCGGCAAAGGCTTCTTCATCTGCCTCCCCTGAAAAAAGCAAAAAGTGAAAGAGAAGTGAGCTGCACACAAAATGCCTAATTTTAGCCTGAAAAAAAAGAACCCCTCGGAAATGGGTTGGACATTAGGGGTCACAAAACTAGTGTCTTGGCTGCGGTTAGTCACAGATAGCGCCATGTATCTGCAGCTCAGGGAGGGTCTGGAGCAGAAAGCTCCATCAGTGGCCTCTCACTACACTGAAGCTACCCAAAAAATCCAGTAGATATGACAACCCAGGGGCCACTGTTCCCTTTTTCCCAAAAGACAGCATGAGGGAGCTGAGCACATGGCCCTGGACAATATTTGTCCTGTGCAGAGCATGTTATCCCACCTCACCTGGACTGTCTGCCTAGGGAGGGTTGGCCCTGCTCAAGGAAAAGTTAAAGGGAAAGGAGGGATAAATACCCAAGCTGACTACAGGAGTGGTAGGATACAAAGCCACTGTGGGTTCAGAGGGGCCAGATGTTGGACATCACAGCTGGAAGGATGGTGGAGATGTGTGAAGGACCACATGAAGATGAGAAATCATGTTGAAGTTGTGAGAGGTAAACACAGTCCAGAGGCAAGGCAGGCACACACAGCACAGGCCAACGAACACAATGGAAATAAAACCCAATGTTTGCACCAACTGATATGAAAGATGAGGTAACTCCAGTCATACTCATGCTGTTTTGCAGATGACACTTTCCTTTGCTGCAGAAACCGTAACAGCACCAGTGCTGCAAAGTAGAGAAATCAGCTCCCGTAACACACATAAAACTCAGCAAAACCACACATTGAAAAGCAAACAGTAAGATACCAAAATGCCAACAAAAGACATTCAACTTGGAAAATAAGGGGCAAGGGAAAGGGAGAGGAAAAAAAAAGAAGGGGGGGGAAGAGTGAGAACAAAGGTGTGTACCGCATTTGTTTCTTAAAGGCTTTTTAAAGTTTCATTAGTTCAATTACTTAAGTACTTTTAAGAGAGCTGATGAAATATGGCATCATTTTATTTGCATCAAAAGTGGTGTGTCACATTCTGGAAGTTTTTCCTGGGATGTGCCCGGCATCAGCTGCTCAGGGAGGGGTGTGTGCTCTCAGCTAATGCGTGTGCTCTTAGTTCATGGCTGGAAAATGCTTTGAAGATGGAAAAAGCACCACGGACGCAACACGGGACAGAGCAGGAATACCCACTTTGTGTGTGCACCAAACCACCAACACTCTCAAACACAACAGGTTCCATTGTCTTTACCTTGTAATCGTACAGGGGGAGAGGCTTCCAAGCGCATGAGGAAAAGGAGGCAAGGTATGTTTAAGAAGTCATTTCACAGTGCAGTGCGGGCACCCGAGGCCTTGCAGGAGAAGAGGACTCCAGGTCGTGCCTCACATTCCCCTACTGTGTGTCTGAGCACCTGGTGTGCTTGGGTATTATGCACAGGACACTTCTTCCCAGGTGATTAAATGCCCATCCCCACCTCAGGACTAATGCTTTTGTGCCCTGGGGTCTCCCACACACTTCCAAAGCAAATAGGACAAAATCACAAACTCTGGATTTAGACTGCCTGCATCGTGCCAGTGTAAAACCCTGGGTGTGTGGTTCTCCTTGCAGTAGGAGAGGGCTGGCAAGATGGTGATTTTCCCCTCATATGTGGCACAGCACTTCAGCTACGAGAAGTGGAGGTCAAGGAAAAGCTCAGAGAACTCCAGACGCAGAATTGCCATCATTTTCCATAAGAGGCTACAGGATTTTACACACTTGTACAAACAGCACTGAAGCATGTATCAGGCTGCTGATACCAGGTCTATGAAGATAAACCAATAAAATTCCAAGAGTAAGAAAGAAAAGCATAGGAAACCCAAGTACATCAGTTGCACATACAAAAACGAGTCAAGAGTATTCACAAATTATAGTGCACCAGAAAAAGGAGATCTCTCCCTTCCCACAGAAACACAAACTGCATGGCTCTCCTTTTGATGTGGAAGTCTTGATGTACGTTTAAAATTTATACTGGCAAACAGATGCAGGAATGGGAAACGTGCTGAGGCCATTCTTGAAGCTCTGTGTGCGTGCATCACAGAGACACGCCAGTCAGACACACTAACACAACCCCTCAGTACTGGACACAGGGAACCAGAATGCCTTTGGAATCATAGAACATTTCAGTTAAAAGGGACCTTTAGAGCTCATCTCCCCCAGAGTCCAACCTCCCTATAGAGTCCAATCCCGCTGCAAGTGAGCAGGGACATCTTCAACTAGATCGGGTTGCTCAGAGCCCTGTACAACCTGACCTTGAGTGTTTCCAGGGATGAGGCATCTACCAACTCCCTGGGTAACCTGTGCCAGTGTTCATCACCCTCACTGTAAAACGATTCTTCTTTGTATGTAAATTGACCCTCCTTCACTTTAAATCCATTACCCCTTGTCCTGTCACTACAGGCTCTACTAAAAGGTCTGTGTCCATCTTTCTTATAAGCTCCCTTCAAGTATCAAAACGATTAAATCCATCTTGATCACCCAATGGAGTCATTCAGTTTTCCATCTCCCCAAGGCAAAGATAAGTTTTAGTTACAAAAAGACCCCAAAAAATTGTCCAAACTTTTTCCCCTTTATGAGTTGTGGGACAGCAGGATGGCTCCACAAATTAAATGGTGCAACACCATGTCAGCTGAGGTTCAAATACTGAACTGACTCCAGTGCTGTGCATGGTATAAGCCATCAGACCTTCCTCTGATCATCTACCTTTAGCACTCCTGGCACAGCAAAAAACTAAAGTGTAACTTGCATCAGGTGGTCTCCCTTGTTCTACATATTTAAACGTATTTGAAACAGCTTTACCACTGGAAACAGGAAACTTGACATTTACTCTGAGAGAGTTCAGCCCCACAGCATCACCACTAAAAAGTGTTTAAACATCGCTAGAGCTTTGTCAGTGGTGATACTTGTCCTAGAAATGGCTTTTAGGAAGACAGCTGGTATGGAGGAGGAGGGTCGTACCTGAGTTCAGAGCTGGCATATCCACTCAAGAAGCACCTTTCAGGGGTGCTCAGGCTTTAAACAGTCCTCAGTTCCCCCAACACCTCCTTCTTGCTGTCTCCTGTGCCTCCAAACCAGCACACTCACGTGAGAGCCTGGGCAGACACGCTGTGACCCCAAGCAGGGACTGACCCAGGTTAAAAATAACACTCTTTTTGCAAGCCTATGTTTAACCCAGCTCAGTGCCTGGAGCCAGCTCATCCTGCAGCCACCCCAGCTGGGGCAGAGAAGGGGGCAATTATCAGGGGCAGCTGGAATCAACGTCCAGGCATTAAGCAAAAGATCTTATTCCCCTAATGCAAATAATAATTAAAAACCTTGCAGCTATTTCACTTGCAAAACCAGCTGGGAGAAGTTACATTTCTAAGGGTTAATTCTGAAAATGAAGGATTCAGCATTACTAGTAACATTTAAAAACAATAATTACAGTTGGGTTTTCTGGTGCACCGAATGAGCAGCAGCTTCTGAGGAAAAAGAAATGAACCACGAGCTGTGGCATCCTAAAAAGCTGCATTAGGACTAAAAGCTGCCTTCTGCTACAAGCAAGAAGGGCTGGGAAATAATTTCTCATACCAAAGCTGCTGCACGGAAAGGGGAAAACAGGGATCCTTCGAGTTGTAGCTAACCAGTAGAGGGCAATATTGCCTATCGCGAGGGTATCATCAGAACAGCCGCTGCCAACCTGTATTTATGTGGTAATACAGCGATTTTACATGCCTAACACAAACTGGGAGTGCAATTCTTGGACTAGGTGGGCGCTCTGGGGGAGCTGCCAGCTACACCAATACATGCTCCCGGGAAATGGAGATAACACACAGGAGCAAAAACACTAAGGCAGAGATATCCCAGGTGAGGTGGGACAGGTAAGTCATGGAGCACTACACACGGAAGCAGCCCTGCACGGGCCAGCATTATTGTTTTTGTTTTACTTTTGAGTAACATCCTTGCATGTCCTCGAATTGAACTGAAATCCTACCAGGAATCAGCAGTAATTAATGGCAAGACAGTAATGGCAGAAATATGCAAAAACAAACCAGGGCAAACATCCTGAGGATACTGAAACACTGATTTGCATTTGCCAGGTCACTTCCCGCGCAGGAGGGAGTGGAGCCTTCGTGGTTCCCGTACGGCAGCCCTCCTGCTCACAGGCTCTCTTCTTACACACCTTACCCAAGAAATATATATATAATCAGGGTTTTCCCCTGTATTAGGAAAGAAGTAGGCACACTAGAGTTTGCTCATCTGAAGGAAGACTTCCCGAGGCCACAAACACCACATCTCCTGTAACCAGCACCAGGAGATGCAACTGGTGAGGGACATTCGGGTTTGTCTAATGACGGGACAGCTCCGAGCCAAGCTCCAGCCATACAGTTGTGCAAAGTCGGCTTGCAGGAAACTTACTCTATTCTAATCTTTCTTGAATGATGGCCAGCAGTGTCTAATACTTCAAGGCTTTAAAGTTAAGGGGCAGTGTAAGCTCTCTCTGAGCTGTTCCCGATGTGGACTGACAACATAGAGTGCAGAAGGAAAAAAAAAAAAAAAAAGCTTTTTTTGACTTTTTCCCCCCCTTCTATTACAAAGGCTTGGAATTTACCCTATGCCTATGGAGGGCACTGGAGTTTCTGATGACTCAACTACATCCGCTGCTGCTGTGGAGAGCTGAGCTGTGATGGAAGGAGAAATCAAAAGTGAAAGAAAAAAACCCCCATTTAAATACATTTATCTGAAGTTGATCACACTACAAATTTTGTAACCTGTTGATAAGGTTTTTCTACTGATAAACTGTTCCGTTGTTACAGCAGTTCTAGTATTAATATCTACCTTAGCAGAAGATACCAGGGCTCTTCTGAGACTAAAGTCCAACATTTGCTGGGAAATCTCATGTTTTACAGGAACTCATTGGATCTGAGAACTCATCGTACAGACCTGTCTACAGGCCTGGATTATCCTGTGCTGAAAAAATCCTGGAGATTAACTG